GGGACTATAACAAACTGGTCAACATAGGAGGTGGTCAACATAAGGAACTAGGCCTCCTATCCTGATACGTACATGTGGTGGTGCGTGTCACGTCTATGAAAATGTAGGCAGGTGGTCAGCTATGGAGGTTCTACTGTATTTAGCAGCAGAAGGAGGTGAATACCAGGCACATATGGCTGCAACACAGTGCCAGTTTGTCTTATCTTTAAAAACTGCACCTGTACCTAAGTGGTTAGGGCACCGACCACAAGCACTGGGTTGGGTGGGTTCCAACCCAGCCCAGGCCTTCTAAACAATGACAACAACAACCAAAAATAGCCAGTGCTGTGGTGGGTGCCTATAGTCCGAGTTACTTAGGAGGCTGAAGCAAGAGAATCACTTAAGCCCAAGAGTCGGAGGTTGTTGTGAGCTATAACGCCATAGCACTCTACTGAGGGCGATGTAATGAGACTCTGTCCCCCGCCCAGAAAAAAAATAGAACAACAACAAAAAAAAAAACCCAGTTTATGAAAATGGGACAGGGAAGACATCATTTTATGGAATCCCATTCCAAAACACTCTGGTGGCTCCCATGAAGACAGTGACTCTAAAGCACCCAGCACTCCATGAATGCTAATTTTCAACCCCTAACTCTAAATGAATAATGAATTCTTGGTACACATTTTTTGAAGGGGAGGGGAGAAATACCACACTCTGACCTCTCATAAATCTACTGTTTTTATTCTTCTTTCTCCCTAGAGTATTTAAAATAGGATTTCTTTCCTTATGATTCTAATAGAATACATATTTTATTAAAAGTAAGTTAGGCCCTCCCCCAACTAAAATGTAGCAAATATGTAGCAATATCATTGCCATTCTTTGGGAGGGGCAGGAAAAATAGTGGGTATTCCTATGTGGAAGGTAAACTGGTTGGTCATGTCCTAGCAAGAGAGGAAGCAGGTTTGGTATCAACTCCTATTACTGCAGTTAATGGAATTTCTACATCCAGAACAGCACCAAGTCCAGCTTTGTGCTGAACTAAGCACCTGTCCCATGCCGTGGTGGGTGGTTATCCCAAGATTCCAAAATGAGCCAAGCATTACCAGAGAGCTGTTTATTCAAATAAACCGCCCAGGTGAACAAGAATCTAGGCCTGCTTAGAAAAAATGTTCAATGCTTAGTTATAATTATTTACTCACTTTTCACTTACTGAGTTTCTAGGGGAAAAAAATCAGTATGCTAAGAATGGTTTTAGGATTATGCTGCTGCTAGAAAGGAAATTAGTAATGAACTTTATCTTATTGTTATGTCTGTCATTCATTCTTGATCATTGTCCACATGTCACACTATGAAGAGATTGTTCATAAAGAGTTCAGCTGTGAGTTCTGATCTACACACACAGGGCATCTCAATGTCCTGGATGTCCTCCCACCCAGTAGCAGACCTCTGGCTTCTGCATGTCAAATAATTCCAATAAGGACAATGTCCTAGGGAATGGCAAGCAGCAAATTGGAAGAAATCTGGATCCCTGCATGACCGTGTGGAGCAGAGCTTCCTTCCAACCTGGATGGTTCATTATGGAATTACTACAGAGCAAAGAAAAATCCTCCGTCTTGTTTAGGTCACTGTATATTGGGGTGGGGGTGAGAGTAGGGGTGGTAGCAATCTATAATTGCTGAACCTTACTAAGTAATTAATCTGACACACACACACAACTTATTTTCATTTGCGAGTGGGAAATAAAAGTACATAATGCAGCTGTATAGGGAGAATTATATAACTGCCAAAGGATGAGATGAGCAACTTCTTACTCCTTCCCATTTCTCATTGTTCACACTTGTTCCACTGATGGAACATGTATCTCTCACAGCCAGTCATCTCAGACCCCAAGGGGATAGAGGTAGTGAGGACAGTCACAACCAGATTGTAGTCTTGCAGGGAAGGCTGTGGGCTCTACTGGCAGATCCTCGTCCACTTGTCTTTCTGTAACAGCCAGTTTGAAGAATCATGTGGCTCACCAAAGACAGGAGGCTAAGGATGGGCACCTGGGCATTTCCGCAGGCATTCCTAAAGTAGATCTAATGCCAAGGGCTAATGTCGAAGGCAGTCGCCTACCTTAACCACCTGCTTGATGCCATTAATGGTGCTGTTCATGAGGGACTTCAGCATGTTGGCGTCATTCAGGGAGTCTGCGTAGCGTACACACATGAACAGGATGTGAGCCGGGAGCCCGGGGATCATGTTCACCACCACACCGCGGGGCTTCAGGTCTGCAGCAGAGGGCACCAATGAGGATTACAGCTACAGGTCTGCTCTTCTCCTAGGGAAGCTCTAAGCAGGGGGCAGGAGTCCACTTTGCTGTACTTGATGTTCTTTTCTCTTTGAGGAATTCAGTCTGGCTCCTTTGTTGGCAAAACACACAGGTGCCACCTGTTCCTCTCGCTTCTCATTTGCTAAGAACTTTCTCTTTTTTAAAAGGTAGGCTAAGAGACATATATTTATATTTTTTACTGGTGTGAAGACCCTGGATTTCAGACCCCTCGTGTAAGAAAGGAGTCCCTCCCCAAGCTCTTTGATGAGGATGGGATACAATGTAACCTGTCATTGGAAGCTGCCTTGAGCAGGGCAAGGAGGGACACACAGTGCTGCACAGAGGCAGGGACTACCTTGGCCTGGGGTACAAGATAAGGGCAGAGAGACAGCGTGGCAGTGAAAGGCAGGGAGAAACTTTATAGAACAAGTCAAGATAAGCAAACAAGGTTCTGCCCCTGGGCACGTTAAGATAGAGGAATAACAAAAACCCGTGTGCAGCAGTAAGAGTGGACAGAGAAGGGTAGGGGTGTCAGGCAACCCGAGGGGTCGCTTGGAAGAAGAGGAAGTAAAACTATGCATTGGCTTTCAGCGTCAAGATCTTGGGACCAGCTGATAGGGAGGCAGATTGTCTCCCTTCCCTAGAAACCCACATGGAAGGCCATGGTGAAGACAGTGGGATAAGCTTGTCCTAAGACACTAACCCCTGAGCAGGCACCCTGGGCCATTCCCATAGGTGTGGTATATCTGGGAGCCCCCATCACACTGCCTGCACAAATGAATGTCTCAGCAAGAGTCCAATGGAGCCAGAGACACAATGACTTCCACTGTGGCTCCTGCGTGAGACACAAAGATGAGGAGCTGTGTCTTCTACCTTGACCCTCCAATTATACTCCAGGAAAGGTTAGGG